CACTTTTGAATTGTTTCCGTCACTACTGTTTGAGATTAATTCTCAGTTGTTAGTAATCGTTGATAGTAAAACGGAAACAGCGTAGCTTACAATATTTTTGAACAGCATCAACCACATACTCTTGCTGCAGACCGATATTTTGAAGATTATGCTATAAGACCTGATTGATATCGAAAGGTTCTCTCTTAGAAAATAACAGATCATATGACGTGCAAAGAGACGGTGACTACTATACGAGTTCTATTGAACGTAAATTAAAAGAAAAGTTTTTCGATTATACATACATGTGATTATTTGAATTCCAAACAGAAGAAGGGTAAACACATATCTACGTTCACATATTCTCTAAACCGGTATACATTGTGAAAGTCAACATGCAGATTAATTTGACTCAGACACTTTCAAATCCATCAGTTTGAAAAATGCACTAAAATAGCAGTCAGCCACCATCTCTTTGCACATTGTATGATCTGTTATTTTCTAAGTCAAGAAATATGACTAAAGCTGAAATATCCGAAACAGGCCGTGGTAAACCAGCAGCTCAATTTGAAGGATGTAGTTATAAAATTGAACCTCGTCAAAAAGAATTGATCTCGTGGAAATGTCGGGAATATGGTTGTCTTGGTCATCTTAACACTCTTAAAGATTATACAAAACCAGACTTGAGTAAGTAACTCTTATTATAATGATAAAGAAGCTAAAATCTATAAAACGCGCGTCTTCTTAAAGGAACTCTACATTCGCACGGCCGAGATCCAAGATAAAAAAGGAAGGAACCACCGCCACCAACATCGTTACGAAAACTTTGTATTCCGGATAAATATGGAAAATTGTGTACAAAAGAAAATTTCTTATCAGTTCAAAGTTCGGATAAGAGAGAACCTTTCGATATCAATCAGGCCTTATAGCATAATCTTCAAATATCGGTCTGCAACAAGAGTATGTGGTTGATGCTGTTCAAAAATATTGTAAGCTACGCTGTTTCCGTTTTACTATCAACGATTACTAACAACTGAGAATTAATCTCAAACAGTAGTGACGGAAACAATTCAAAAGTGTCAAAATATTTTGAGGAATGAGTTGTGTAACTGAAAACGCACCCAAATAAGACGCACTAAAGTGCTAATGTTAAACGTCAACTTTATACCAGTATTTCTAGCTTCCTTATCCAGTTATTTATTTTATATTTATTTGTTCTTATAGAGTTCATCTTTTTTTCTTCTATCTCACTTGTTCCTGTTGTAATGAGATCATCGTGTGATAGGTCGGAGACCTTTGGTGATTTCTTACTCACTCTACGTGAATAAATTCATTGAATCATATATCTTTCGATGTTAGTGTTTAAACTGATCGCACATCTGATCACGAAGTTTATTTTGCTACTCACTTGTTAAAAGGGGAAAAATCTTCAATAGATTCGTTGCAAATTTCTCTCGAAATATAGACAACACTGACTGGCATCCAAACTGATATGAAATTTTTGCAAAAAACTTTTTTAGACTTTGCTTATTACTAATCGTACCTAATAGTAGTCTAAACAATTCCAGAATAAAGCATTCAATCAGGTTTGACAACCCGATCTTCTATGGTATATCATTTTACGCCATTATCGAATCAAGACATGAAAATTGGATAGGAAATGTTGATTGACGCCTGAATTTCTCAAAAACGTCTGACCAATCAGTTGAAAGGTTTCAGTGCAGCATGATGATCAGTATACGATATTTGACATTTTTTCATTAATCTATCGAATACTCTAAAAATGTTGGCATGCATCGGTGAAGATATGAGTTCACACTACGAGTTAAGCAGCTTAATTTTTTCGGCTTAAGGATTCTGATTGGTGTCTTAACGTTTTCTTCGTAAAGGCACCAATCAGAATCATTAAGCCGAAAAAATTAAGCTGCTTAACTCGTAGTGTGAACATAGCCTAAAAGCTCGAAAGTGAATTTCTGTGAATTTTTCATTCAACCAATTTCAATGGCTGAAAATCACTTTTGCATACAGTCCATGCCGTTAGTCTACGAACCATAGTCAAAGTAAGCTAAAATGAAAAGGATACCGACGGTCAAGATACACTACGACTGAAAGGTAGGCCTAAGTCGCTAGTGTCATCGTGAGTTTACGTTGATTGTGGCAACTTAAGTCTAGCTTCCAGTCCTAGCGTATCTTAACCGATGTCGACACAGTCAGTGCTAAAAGATGCAGGCGCCATTTTTATTTTAGCTTATCTTGACCCTTTATCGTTCTACCGACTGACATGTACAACGTGAAAAATGTGACATAACTAGCATCTCATTAGTTAATTATAACTAATAAAAAGTGATTTTAAATGAAATTTGTTTTTAAATTTTAGATACTATATTTTCGAATATCTGTAACCGAGTGTCCGATGACCACCAGACGGTGCCCGTTAAAAAATGGGTTTGGTCGATGGTCGCTTATATTACTGCCAGGTCAAAAACTGAGGATCAACTTCAGATTAAAAAATATTGGGATATCTTTAATTTGAAGTTAGGGATCCCTAGCGAATGTACCTGCGAGCGACATTTGGCTAGCACCCGAAAAATGGTAAAAAAATTTAGCAAGTATTCTCATAAGTTTGATGTACTGATTGGACCTCTCGGCAATACTCGTCAGTCACTGGACTAAGCAAACAACTTACGCCGTACCTGCTTTTTCTTCGTCACAGTACTAGACCTGTCTTCAGCGACGGCTTTTTTCTACGCTTTATTGTTTTTGTCCATGATAGAATTTAGCGAGTGGCGCCAACAATCGATGCTGTGGATTATGATATTAGTACGACATTCGGATGTTTTTTCTTGATGTCATTGAGTAACCTAACGTGTTTATGTGAATGTGTAGAAGTTGTGTCTGCTCTCTTATCTCTCATAAGGGAAAAGCTTTATAATGTAAGTTAACAGACTAAAAACTTTCCCGTTTCCTTGATCGTTGTTTGTTAAAGAATTATGCTAAGCTGATCTCTGTCTGTTATAGAAGATCAATGTTAACTCTGATCAAGATCCATGAGAAATCTTAACAGGTTCGATTTAATGATAATTGGACTTACCGTAGAACTTTCGGTTTTGGAATTTAGCGCACGTTTGGTTTAACATCTTTTAGTAGATTATCTTCATCCATGAGTTACACCAACAACTCAGGAGAGTTAACTGAGTTTTTCAGTTCTTGGAATGATAATGAACAAGAGAGATGTAGAAATTATAACTTTATTTCTCATGAAAAACAAATAGTAGATGTCAAGTCTAACAATATTCAGTTATAATCAGCAAAGCGTGACAGTTCGTTGTGACATATAAAGAATAGTCGGTTATATATTTGTATCGATAGTTTTGGTTTAGAACACTGTAATGGAATACTTTCCCGCTCGTATTCTGTTGATCTGGATCAGGTAATGATATCCTGCTATTGCAACAATTTGTGCATTGGATCTTTGTTTTTTCGCTGTTGTAATTGAACATGCATGTTGTTTGTGCTTATCGTTTTCTGTTTGGACGCATTTGTCTTCTTAATTTTTTATTCATCCAGTACGTGAAGCATTAATTTTGTTCCTTCAACTCACCATTTGTATTCAAAATCAATTCACGTTAAAAAAGTTTGATACATAATTTGTTTACACCTATAAAAAAAAATCAAAATATTACGTCTTAATCAGCAATTGGAGGACTGTTTTTCTTTTACTTTTCAGTATGAGCGGTTAACAATAATGTCACATTCTATGTAGCGTCGAATGTTTTGACTTTCAATTGAACACATCCATTGTCCGTATACTATTAGCTGTACTGTATTAGTTCTACGGCCTGTCCACGTAACGCGTGATTACGTCACGATTTTTGTTGTTTTGCGAGTCTCTTGGCGTTCGAACAAAAGGAAACTCAAGGACCGTTTATATCTAGTCTTGTAGAGAAAAGTGAGCTGAACAAAATGTGATATTTTCTGTTTCCGCAGA